CCTTCTTTTTTGTACTTCGAATATGATCAAAGTATTCATAGCAATTTTAAATTGAGAGTTACATCCTTTACTTATGTCAATATATTAAATGTTTTTATGTTTAAGGTGGCAGACACCAGAATAAGCATAGTTAGTATACTTAAGGATACTAATATTTGTATATAATTCCAATACACATTTGGGGACATGATTGCCTATATTTTATAAACTTTTGAACGTAAGGGTTGAAATGTGTTCCTAAACAGTATAATTCAAACATTTGTGCACATGTCCCTAAAACCAAAATACATGACTAAACTAAAAAAACAAATGATTACATTTTTCCATTATAAGAGCATCTTTAACCGGACAGTGTACACATTAAAAAATACTGCTACGTCATTCCATTTAACATTTTGCTAAAATTTTCGGTTCCAACGCAGGGAGTTTAACTTCATGTGATGCTGAGCTGTTAAATATTTATTTAGACATTGTAGACACCACCGTCTTCTCACAATAGCCCCCTTCACATGATGAGTCAGCACACGTGAACCAAAACTACGGCCAAAACTGTAAAATTATCCACGAACTCCTACCGCGAAACAAGCTTCCCGCGAAACAAAGCATATGCCCGCCAAAATATTCAGTCACCGCTTCATTCACCTTCCCCATCTGGAGTAAAGCTTCCTCGAGTAAAACTGCCGCAGAGACCAAGACAACCTTTGGCAGAGACCCAGGTCATATATATCTCTCCTTCAAATATTTAATTTGTGGTTAGGTATTTCGATTCTTTCTATTTCCGTAAATTTTCCTTTTCCGTTCAAATGATTAATGGATTAAGGGGTAAAAAAATTGAAAATTTGATTAACGAAGTCCTAATTTGGAAGGTTTCACCTAGAGCGATTGGGAATATTATATACTCGAGTGGTACAGAATAAGGCATAGAGCTCATGGATTCTTAAAAACTTCAACACATAACTCAGATGCTTTACATCTTTTGAGTAGGGATCGTGACCTTCTCAAATTGCTCTAATCCTCCTTTAAGAGGAACTCCTACCCTCAATTTTAATTCACCCATAGGAATCTCCCAACCTTTAGGAACAACTGTAGACTGACCTGGCCATAATATTGCACCGAGATCATTTTTCTTAGCAGAGTAAAGAGTTGTGCTTTTGTTACTATTCTGATTGTTAATTTTTGATTTTCTTGTTTTAATTCTTACTGCTATTATTATTACAAGCTCACTTGTGGTTGGTTATTTTATTATACGAAAGATTATAATGAGTCAATCCAACTGAAACTTTGTTTGATTCCTTCTTTTCCCATTCTACACTAATATACCTTCACTGCAAATAGACTTCGCTTTGTTTTTGTTTTTGGCAGTACCACGTTTTCCCAAATAGTATTTTCACACTATGTGGCGTGTAGGATCTGTTGGCAGCCAAAAGTGACTTGTGTGCTTATAAGTAGCTTTTAACATGTTTGGCAGAGAGAGATGTTATTGTTATGGTATTAGAATTTGATGATAGAGTTAATGCTACGCTTGCTTTTCCGGTGCAGCATCACTACATGCTGGGTGGTCTAAACTGCTTCATCATATTTCGCCTCTCCCATCCAATTTTCTTTGATGTGCACAATACCATACACCACTTGATTTGTAGTAGTAAGGTCTTTTTTTAATGAATTTCCTTATGTCTAATTCCAGAAAACTAAAAATACAAGACTCTCAAAACTAAAGCAGATTCATTTAGGTTGCCTAAAGCATTTTGGGCCCTTTCTTCTGCAAGGAGTGCAATGAACGACTTTCAATCTTTGTAAGGTTGATATTCCTCAAAGCAAAAACAGCAAGTGCCTTAAAATGAACACCAGGGCCTTCGTCAAGAGAAAACACTATACTTGTCTGTATATTGTGCTTAAGTACATCCAATCCATATATCCTTGCAGGAGTGAGGCTAGCCACAACACCAACAACTTTTAGCTTGTGAGAAACAACATACTTTGCTGCCCCTGCAGTATCATCAACAGCTTCTCTGACCAATCTAAGGTCTGTTAAAGTGTTTTCACATTGGGCCTTAGAACTCATGTAATATTTCTACCATCATTAGTAAGGTAACATATAAATTTATCACTCCGTAGTAAGGTTCACCCCTTGTTTAGAGATAGAATCTGATTCATTCGCTTCAAATTCTACACCAACTTTAACCTCACTGCCAATAGAGAACAGGTTAAAAAACTACATATACACACATCCGCGGGCAACAGTAATGACTTTTTTTTTTAAATCACTCTCTTTGTTTTTTTGTTTTATCTTTGAAGTTATGATAGTTTACTTTGATAACAGTTTGTTGGTTTATTTATAGCTACATTATGCTTATTCTTTATTATGCAGATACTTAAAGCAATGGATTCACAAGACCCTGAGACCTTCTCTTCTTCTCAGTACCAGTATATTCACCCAATACCAACTCAACACTCAAGCCAATCACTTCACTCAATCCCACCAATTCAACCGACTTATAACTTCAACCAGGGCAATGGAATGTATCCTTATTATGTTGATCAATATGGATCTAAAATACCATTCCAAAGTCTATTGAATTCTCCAATATTGAATACTCCAATGGCAAATGCTCAGCCTGAGAGTTCAACTAAAAAACCAAAAAAGAAAGGCACCGATAGCGGGATAGTATCTGAAGCTGCAATTATCAGAAAAGAATGGACCAAAGAAGAAGATCTAGCATTGACGAAGGCGTGGTTACATGTATCAATGGACGCAGACATTGGAAATAATCAAAAAAATACTGCTATGTGGGTGAGAATTGAAGAAGTCTTTAAGGAGAATATGGGGGCTAGATGCAATCCTCCTAGAAACAACAACAGCTTGCAATGTCATTGGGGAAAAATTCAAACAGCGGTGAATAAATTTATTGGGCATTACGAGCGATTGGATAGACACCCGCAAAGTGGCACAAACGTGGATGATTTGGTAAGACTATTACATTTATGAGGTTGCAGTTTTTTTTCTTGCATTATTTCAACCTAATAATGAATTTCATTATTCCAGCATGTTGTAATGCTTTAAAACTACTATTTTTGCTTGAATATCTACTTTCTTTTTTAGAGTTTGATATTAGAATAAAGTCATGACAGAATAAAGTCATGAGACTGTCAAAATAAAACTCCTATTTCCAGCTAAAACTCTTATAAAAAATTGGCAATGAGACAACAGATGTAAAATTTAAAAGCTTCTATTTCTTTAATATTTAAAACTGTTTGTTATTGAAGGTGAGTTAAATTATATATTTCATTTTTATGTTTTAGATAAATAAGGCGATGGGATCGTATGAAGACATTCAAGGAAGCCCATTTAAGTATCTTCATTGTTGGGAAGAAATGATAAAAAATCCAAAATGGTACTCACAACATGTGAAACCGCCTAAAACAAATAAAAAAACTGTTGATATCTCCAACTCACCGGTAGCAGAAGATGATGTACCGACTATTAATGAAGAAAATATGCCTTGTGGAGGTAATAACTCAGATGGGCTCATGCGTCCTCAAGGAAGAAAAGGCTGCAAGGATAAAAAAAGAAAGTTGCATGAGGAAAAAGGTGTGGTGGATGCATTGGCCAAGCTACAAAGTACTTTAGAGAAACAAGTTAATGCAAATATTACAGCTTTGGAGATGAGAAAAGAGAATGACCGCCAAGAATTTCAATTGAAACAACAACTCATAAAAGAAGAGATTGAATTAAAAAAGAATGCTGAAAGGAGGAAAGAGCGACAACATATTATGAATCAAGATCTAAGTAAGCTCTCACCAAGTGCTCGAGCGGCATATGAAGTCATGCAAGAAAATATTCTAAAAGAATGGAAAAAAGATGGCTTCTTTGGATCTAGTAGGTAAATATTAAATACATATTTTATCTGTGTTTTTTAAGAAGACATATTTTATCTGTTTTGTATTGAGTTTGAATGAATTGTGACTAAACTAACAATGATCATTTTTTTCTCCATGTTCAGCACTTGACGCTCAAGACCGCACTTCTTTGGCGCATGTCTCTTTTAAAATCTAGCCATATGTTTGTTGGCATGGATGTTTTCTTTTCAAGCGGGATTAGTACTAGTAGACTACTGATAGTAGCTTTTAATCATATAGTTTCAAATGATCTTTCCTATTATTCCTTGTTATATCATGATGTTTATTCCTTGTTGACTATTTAATTAGTAGTAGGTTATCTTGAATTCTGATTGGTTATCATTTTGAAATTGTAGCTTGTAGGATGTTTAATCAGCAGCAGTTTATTTTGAACATGTTTAGTATTTTGAAGCTGCTTAGCTTTCACATTAATGCGTATAGCTTTTTGAATTTTGATAATTCTAATTTACTCACTCTGATTTTCCAACCCTGCTATTTCATCACTGTAGTTAGCAGAACCCCATATTCACATATTGAAGAGTAGGATTGAAGATTTAATTTTCCACTTTCTCTTTAAAGATATTCTTCACTCCTTTCTCATAGATTTTCCAAGGAATTTCAATGTGTGTATTCTGCTAGAGTACAAATTATTTTCGGAAGAAACGAAACTTCCCATGCCCTGCTGTGTTTGTCTAGTAACTGATTTGGTTAAACATGGAAGGTGGATGGGAGATATAGTCAAAGAAAGAAGAAATATAAATATTCAAGTGCCCACTTGTTCAAAGGACAAGTAGTGATTTAGATATCTTACTCAGGACTTCGGGAGTACTTGGGGTAGGTACAATATCAATAAAATTGACAATTTATGTGCTACCAAGCTCTAATAAAATTAGTCTCATTAGTCTTATTCTGCACTTGCACATAGCTGAAATCAATGAAGGGTTGTATTTGTAAACATTAGTTCTGTAGATTTGGTGGAGACTCCTATTTTCCTTTGCTTGTTTCATAATTATTTCCTTCCTATTAATGAGATTGAAATATAATCATTAATAAACTAGGAGAAGTAGCTATTAAGTAAACCAAATGACACATGAAAAGAGCAATAAATTAAATGCTCGAACGTAGTATTACAAAACAAAGAAATATAAATAAATTTCCTGAGTAGTTCAAATAAGATATATGAAGTCATTTTAATAAAAGCTTAATCAACATGTTGGCCACCATGTAGCTCCCACAAATGATTTATGAGATCAGTCTTTAACTCTCGATGCAATCTTTTATTTTGTATCTCCTTCAATCGAGTGTTCATCCTTGAAAATAGGAAGGTAAAATCATGATCCGGAACAACATTGTCACTTGTATCTTCTCCCTCAGATTGCCAACTTTGAGGATCAATGCCTTGACTGTTCTCACTTTCAACAATCATGTTATGTAAAATGATACATGTTTTCATAATCTTTCCCAAATCCCTTGGGTTCCACATACGTGCTGGACCTTTGATAATATGCCACCGACTTTGCAGTACTCCGAATGCTCGTTCTACATCTTTTCTCACAGATAGGGGTGGAAACAGGCCAGGCCAGGCCAGGCTTTCGCCTAAACAGGCCGGGCCTGTTTTAGAATATATAGGCCTGAGCCTGGCCTGTTACCTGTTAAAGGCCTGTTTTTTCGGCCTGGGCCTGGCCTGTTCAAAAGCCTGGCCTGGCCTGAAGCCTGTTTACCGGGCCTGTTAAGAAAAAAAAACAAAATTTCAAAAAAATTAAAATGAAAAGTGTAAAATCCTTTTAATCCGCTATAAAATTTATTTCCCTAAATATTCACTAAAAAGTATAATAATACGTTAGTTTTGCTTTAGATATCTAATAATACATTATTATGGAGTATTATTATGTAGTTTATAAATTTCTATATACTTTAAATCTTGAAAAACTTTGAATTTCAATTACCTTAATAAACTATTAACACACTTTATGTATATTTAAAATAGTATTCTATTCTAATTTATAATACACACTCCCTAAAAATACTATTATACCGATTTTGCTATAGTTGAGTATACCAATATAAATACAATATAAATATAAATAATACAAATAAATATGAATATAACTAGATATATATACATATATATATATATACACATATATAAATAGGCCGGCCTGTTAAGGTAAAAAGGCTTCAGAATTAGGCTAGGCCTGGCCTTTTTAAATAAACGGGCTTTTTAAAAAGCCCAAGCCTGGCTTGATTACTAAACAGGCCAGGCCAGGCCAGGCTTTTAACAGGCCAGGCCACAGGCCCCTGACAGGCCGGCTGGCCTATTTCCACCCCTACTCACAGACTCTTGATGTCTTGCAAATAATTTTTCCTTGAGAGAAGATGGATTTGAAATAGTTTGGATTAATGTGGCATATTCTGGATAAATCCCATCTGATAGATAGTACCCCATATTGTAATGATGACCATTCACTACATAATTGCATAGCGGTGCTCTATCATTAACAAGGTCATCAAATAAGGGAGATCTATCCAAAACATTAACATCGTTATTTGTACCGGCCATTCCAAAAAATGCATGCCAAATCCACAAATTTTTAGATGCTACAATTTCCAAAATGAGGGTTGGAACTCTTTTGAAACCATTAGTATGTGTCCCATGCCAGGCTGTTGGACAATTTTTCCAATGCCAATGCATACAATCTAAACTACCAAGCATACCTGGAAATCCACGGTCTTCTCCCTCTTTCAAAAGTCTTGCAACATCATCTTTGTTCGGTTTTCGTAAATATTGCTTTTCAAAAATGCCAATAATAGCATCGCAGAATCGTTTCAAGCTTTCAATTGCCGTGCTCTCTCCAATCTGGACATACTCGTCAAGAATATCCGCTGCACAACCGTATGCTAACATACGTATTGAAGCTATGACTTTTTGTAAAGGACTAAGCCCGGGTTTTCCAATCGCGTCAACCTTTTGTGTAAAATAATCATCATAGGCCTCAATTGCTCTCAAAATTCGTTGGAATAATTTGATGTCCATCCGAAATCGTCGACGAAATTTCTCAGGTGTATACTTTGAGTTCTCACCATTGAAATAATCATTGACAATTAGATCATGACGTTCTTTCCTATCACGATTTATATGTCGTCTACCACTTATTGAACCGCCATGAGGATCTTTGCTACATATTAGCATAGGAGACAATATCAATGGGACGTGAACTGCACATGCCTCCACTACATCAATGTTCATTTCGGCAAAAATGTCATCATCCCTCCTTAGCTGATTGAGCATCTGTGTAGATAATGTATATGAATCATCACTAGATGATGAGCTATTGGAATCCGAGTCATAACTAGGTGTTGTCATTTTTGTCAAAACCGATCTGCTTACAAAAAGTATATACGGAGTATTATTTTAAAAAAAGTCATCAACATGCTCAATCAAAATAAAAATAATAAATGAACAAATTAAAAATATTATTCAAAGAATTTAATAGAAATTAAAAATAATAGATATAGACGAAATGAATATATTGAATAATAGATACGAAGTATGTATCAAATTCAATGAATTGATATAGGTAACATTACCTTTATGGATTTATTTTAACCCAGAAGTTGTTTGATTCAGGAAGACAATTGCATGGCTTTTGATCAGTCAATCAATGAATTGAATTTGATAACTACACGGAGTATTTTATGAAGGAGCCGGCTCATCTGGAATGATTTTGGGGTTTGGAGCAATATGTGTATAAATCAGTTATTGTACACGTTGGTCAACTATAGGCTGTTACACAGGGAGCACTGCGCATGAATTCTCGGTTTCAATGTGGACTGAAATGATCCCAACGTGATGTGGAGGACTGATCCATTTGTTAATTGCCACGTGTCAATTTTTTAAACCTGTTAACCCTATACGATTGTGGATGCTCTAAGCACTTATAGTGAAACTTGTAACACTCATCAGGCAAAATTGGGGTGATTTCTTATTAAACATGACACCATATGGATTAGGACAATTCTTTTTCCCAAAATAAGATTGTATGTAGCAACAAATTTTAAAGTGGTAACACTATATAAAAAGGCATTAAAAACATTTGAACTTCAAGAATTATTATCACCAGAAATGATATAAATCTCAAAATTTAAAAAATGCACTATAATATAAGAAAGAATGGTCGATTAACTGTTCTTTTAAGCTTAAGGAGGTCATAGATGACCTCATATGAGCTTGAGGTAATACTACAAAAAAACAGGTCCGTAGTCACAAACTTAGTCACGGACCGTAGTGTTAAAAATCCGTGACTAAGCTCTTTAGTCACAGATTTGGTCTGTGACTAAGTCCGTGACTAAGTGTAGCACAAACTTTTATCCGTGACTACATTTAGTCACGGATTAGTCACTGCCATGATCCGTGACTAGTTTGTGACCGGAATTGCTACTCCGGTGCGTTTGTCACGGACATATCCGTGACTACATATTATTTAATTTATTTAAAAATTTTACAGTGGTCACGGACAAGTCCGTGACTAACTTTTGTAATTTTTTTTAAAATCGGCCGTATTAATTTTTAAAATTTGATTTTTTTTAAAAACCGCCAATTTTCAAATTTTCAAATTTTGTTTCAAATTTTCAAAATTTTCAAATTTAAAAAAAAAAAACTTATTTTTAAAATAATTTAAAAATAAAATTTGAAAAAGTCGGACAAAACATTTGTCACAGACTTAGATCCGTGACTAGACTTTCTGTTTTTAAAAAAAATATGTTCTTTAGAAAAATAATTTAATTTAAAATTATATTTAAAATTATTTTTAAAAAAATTGTTGTACAATTATAACAATTAAATAGAAAAGAAATTTATACACTTTTAATCTATCAACTGGAATAAAAGTAATAAACAGACTAAAATAAGCATTTAAATAATCAATTTAAATTAAAAATGTATCATTACATACTCCTTCGTCCGTTATGATAATATCCAGATTCATCATAATTTAAATAATCGTCTTCGGTCTCGTGTTCTTCGTGTGGTTGCCTCCTCGGTTGCCTCCGCCTTGGCCCCAACTTTGGCCTCCGCGACTGCCTCCGCCTTGGCTGCCTCCAGGTGTCTCAAACAGGTTAAAAGGGACATCCTGAAAAGATCCAAATGAAGGCAACCCGGACCCAGAGTTGGAACGGAAATAACCGCCCATCTGCGGAACTTGAGAAGTCTACTCAAGGTGCAGTATATACGGCTGAGGTTGAGACCGAAATCCGGTGCTAATGATCCGTTCCATCGCTTCCAGCCGAGCTCTTGTTTCTTCCTCCTTTTTCCTTTGCTCCTCCAATGCTCGTTGCTGCTCCTCCAATTCCCGCTGCATTTGGGCAATACGCTGAGGAACAAGTTTGTATTTGTCTCCACCACAGAACTTGCAGATCTCAAGTGCCTCATCATCCTTCTAGAACAACATACATCCTCAAGGGCACGCATCAATTTCTATACAAGGAAGCCCCAGTTTAGATATTAATTGCTTCATGTCGTAATATGAATCGGGGAGGCTATGATCACGCGGTAGCATTCCTCCTACTGACTTCAAAACTCTAGACATGTAAGTTTCAGGGAGATTGTATTCAGCTTTTATGTTCATAAACTCTGTAACGGCGATAGCTGAGAGTATCCCTCACAATCAGCATACAGAGGCTGATCGGCAGCTTTCAAAACATCTTGAAATCTCTCAGCTAAACCTTCATCCACATAAGGTTGATAAAATATCGGATTTTCATCCGCATCTGGTTGATACGATGTCGAGGCTTCAAGAGGATCGTTAGATGGTTGTGGGGGGTTGAACTTAGACATCGATGGACCGTATGCATCATATACCATTCTTTGGTCCCACCTCATTTGATCACGGTCTCCCCACCCACTCATCTCGTTAGGGACGTTACGAGATGAACCTACCGTTCGTGGAGTGAGAGATGGATCCAAAGGTTCGCCATGACAAGTCCAATTATAATAATTGGGAACGAAACCGTCCGCGTACAAATCTCACCCAACCTCGTCTGGGTCTTTAAATTTGAGATTTTTACACTTTGAACATGGACATCTGATTTTATCACCACTCATATAATCCGGGTGTTCAAGTGCAAATTTAATAAACTCCTCACATCCCTCAAGGAAATATGTTTTCATTCAGTACAATACCGCATTTTTATCATACATCCAACTTCTATTTTGCCTATACATTATGCCTGAATATTATAATAATAAAAAATATATTGGTTAAAAACTTTAAATCATAAACATTGTCAACAATTTGTTATGTGTTGGTCTCAGTATATGCAGACTAATGATGTGACACCGCACCCGAACGTCCTTGAAAATTCAATTTAAATTCAAAATTTATGTATTGAATTTCCGATCTCCAAACAATAGTAAAACGATTAATGTTCTACGTAGTGCATGGTTGGATGTCATACTGTTCAAACTCGTACAATAGTGTCGGGTTTTGCAAATACTTATTCGGGACTTATTAATAAATAAAAGAGCCCAACATTACCTAAATAGCGATACATAATCTTTCAAGACAATTTGAGGAAGGTCGGGCGGCCCAAACATTATTTTGGGCCCAACCTGCTAAAAATAGCAAGTATTCGAGAATGGCGTTCTAGACCCACTCGGAGTGACCCACACGGCTAGTAGCCCAAAAATATGTATGACAAATGTCAAATAAGTGATAGAATGATTAAAGAAGAATACAAATGCCTATAGCCCCATCTTTGGCATTATTGAGCTAAATAATGGGAGTGGGATTTTCTTTCTATGATATCCATCAAGTAAATTATTGTGATAAACCTACACATATTGGAGATCAACAATGTGATGAGGGAAGTTGACTTGTTCTAAATAAATTAAGATGAGTACAAAAAGACATCTTTTGACAAAAGATAAAACAATAGGACTCATCTTCCCATTTTTGGAAGTATTGGTAGATATTTTGGACCCCAAGTTGAATGGGATCAATTGGGAACCATTCCACATGGACTTAGTACCTGCAAAACAAATGAAAAGAGGTGAGAAGACTATATGGGGCGGACCCTTGGCTCACATGCACAAAAACTCCAAGAGAAAACAAAAGGGGGAGGTCCACCCCATATTTGATTTCAAACCAAATATCTCCCATGTCCTTTTGTGAGCCACATGCTCTTTTAGAATGTTTAAGGTCTCCTATACACTCCGCCTACACCCCATTCGAACCCCAAATAGATAAGGGAGCAAAAGGATCCACACAACTCAAGAGAGAAGGAAGGAAGAGGGATGTCCGCAGGTAGTCTTTCCAGTGCGTAAGGTTACTTGTTTGCTTCATATCTCGAGTTATACACATCCAAATAAGGCGTGCGAGATACCAACAGAAAGCTCTCAAGACGAGGAATCCTTGAACGTCTGGTTTGCATCAATCGTAGTAGTGGAAGGCTTCCAAATCGTCCGAGCAAAACACAACCTCGCAGAATACGTTTTTCTATTCAAAGTAAGTTTGAATCCAAAACCTTCCTCTCTATTGTCTAAATCATATAAATGATTGAAGAACTATTATACACTGATTGAAGTGTATAAAATGTTATTATAAAGTGACTTTAATTGTTGGAGAGGTTAGATACTAACCTAGACAAAACCTTGAAAGGTTAGGGAACGAATTCGTCGGGAAACACCCGTTCTAGGGACTGTTTTTGTGTCTTCGGTTAGGAGTTGAACTAGCACTTTGAGGGGGCTGTTTAACACTCAATTCCAAGCAAGGAATCAGTTCTCAAACCTTCTTGGCCGAGGCTTTGGTCGTTGGAGCGAGAAGGAAGGTTTTAAAGCTCATTTGAGGTGAGGACCGACATCTAGTTACTTACAACTTGTAGGTTATGCATGAGATTACCTAAATGCTTAAATCATGTTTTTGTGAATAAATATGCTTGAACATGATATGAATGATAAGTAATGGACTTGATCATGAATTGAAACCATATTGATGAATATGGAGTCATGTGAGATAGAAGTATGCTAATATGGTAAATTGACCCTTCCAACTCATGTATGAATGTTATGTGTATGTAAATGTATAATTTCATGATGATGCCTAACACATGGGGGGGGCTGCCACATATCTATTGATATGGAGGGGCTACCATTAATGATAGATGAGTTGTAGGAATAATCTTAATAGTATTGTGATGCTAGTTAAGGATTGTCCTAAATGTGTTAGAATCAAACTTAAGGTTTGAGTTTGTTTGTGATGAACTTGAATGAGATTCAAGTGTCAATTGTGATTTCATAGAGTAAGAGATCTATGGTGTGATTGTATGGAGTAGGAGATCTATGGTGTGATTGTATGAAGTAGGAGATCTATGGGATGAATACACGAAGTAGGAGATCTATGATATGATTACATGAAGTAGGAGATCTATGATGCGAGTGCATGATGATGTACTCGAGCCGAACTCTATAAATGAGAAGTTATATTAGGGTTGGACCCTATGTATGTCGTGACTATTAGTCACGGGGTTTGGGAAATGTTTTGTGATAAACATGGGCCTTTGAGCCGACTACTTGACTTTATATAAAGTAAGTATATTTTTTTGAAGGGGTAATTTGGGATTACAACCTAACCTATATTATCACCCTATTTGAGGGTCTTGTGTGTGAAATACTTGTTGTATATCTATTAGATGCCTGCCACACCAGTACTTTATA